GGGCTGTAGAGCTGCCTGGGGGCCCCGGCCACTGCGTCCCAGGGCTTGTCTTCTTGCCCGGGGCTGGCTTTCCCAGTAGTGTGGCGAGGGACGTGCCGCCTCCAGGCAGAAGGCCAAGCGCAGCAGATAAGGAACAGAAGTCACTCTTGTTCCCCTGGGCCCGGGGTGGAAGTGGGGGCGTTGCGTGGCTTCGTGGCTGGCCTCGGTTCGGCCGTGACTGGGTTTGGTGTCGTGCCCTCCGCTCAGGGCTTGCACAGTGCCAGCATTCCTGGGATCCTCGCCCTGGACCTCTGCCCTGCCGACACCAACAAGATCCTCACTGGTGAGAGCTGGTCTGGCCCCGCGGGCCGAGGCGGGGCGGGCGGCAGGGTAGGGGCACGCTCCTGTCCTCTGCATGGGCCCGGGGTTGCAAAAGTACCGTCTTCAGCCGAGGGGTGTGGGTGGGCATGACTCACTGTTGGATCTCATTTGGGTCCTTTCCAGGAGGGGCGGATAAAAATGTTGTCGTCTTCGACAAGAGTTCTGAGCAAATCCTGGCCACCCTCAAAGGCCATACCAAGAAAGTCACCAGTGTGGTGTTCCATCCTTCCCAGGTAAAGGGTCCTGCCAGTCACCCTGGGTCCCTCATTCCTGCACCCTGGTTTCAGTGGTTTAGGGTTGCAGACCCAGTCACCCAGCGCCGTGCCGTGTCCTTGTGAAGTGAAGTGGGCCCGAGGAGGAGCACCAAGCCTCCAGAGCGGGCCCTTCAAGGCCTTTGTTTACAGCCGTGGGTCGCCCTGTCCTCCGTGCAGAAGCCCCTAGAGCAGTGGCCTTCAGCCCAGGGAAAGGGAGGCAGTGAGAGCTGGAACAAGCAGACTCAGAGGCACGTGGCGTGTCAGGAAAAGGAAGAAAGTCCTGTAGTGTTTATAGTACAAACTATGGAAAACAAAGCCGAGCAAAATCTTCACGTATCTGGGAAGGACAGGTGCGTCCGCATTCCCATGGTCCTGCGGGGTCGGGGGGAACTTGACATCAACCGTTGAACATGGTGCGGGCTAAAATTGATGGAGTTGCTGGTTTAGAGGGTACAGGCAGCCTTCAGACCAGATTAGTGACATTGTGGGATTGGAGTCTTTAGGTCTGGGACGGTTTGGGTCTGAGACTGTAGGATTGTGGCTGGGTCTGTGCTTCCCAATTAGCCTCTTCCCTGTCCCTTAAGGAAATTAGAAATAGGTGAATACTGTGGGTTTTTCATAAAACTAAATGTTTTTAAAATGGGAGGCACTCCTTTCCTGCGGCCAGGTGTTGATAAGTTGTTTCTCTTACGAAATCGTGTCGATGAAAGATGGTAGTTGTTTTTACCTTATAGTGTTTAATGTCCTAACCCAAATAATTGGTGCGTGTACACGGTAGAAGTTCTCTCTCTGCCCCAAATCTTTCTGAGGATTAACTTGCTCCTGAAATCCTGGAGTCTGTGATGTAGCAAAATAGGCCCTTGCAGACCCTCACAGATCCTCTGCTGTTCAGAAGTACGTGGTTCCTGACGGTAGCCATTAGGTAGCTACATGTGTCTATTTGAACAGAGTGAAATAAACTAAAAAAAAAACTCAGTTCCTCAGTTGCACCGGTCACCTTTCTCTCTCTGGTACTAGAAACAGGGCGTGGGAGATTGCTTTCTGCTACAGTTACCCTTCTCACTACTAGACAGTGAAGCCTTCTCTTCTAGGCCAATGCTGTTTGAGTTACCATTTAAAAAAAAATTTTTTTTTTTCAACGTTTTTTATTTTTGGGACAGAGAGAGACAGAGCATGAACGGGGGAGGGGCAGAGAGAGAGGGAGACACAGAATCGGAAACAGGCTCCAGGCTCTGAGCCATCAGCCCAGAGCCCGACGAGGGGCTCGAACCCACGGACCGCGAGATCGTGACCTGGCTGAAGTCGGACGCTTAACCGACTGCGCCACCCAGGCGCCCCTTGAGTTACCATTTTAAATGGCGTTTACCATTGGCTCTCACGCATCACCAGTTGGATGGATGGTTCTGGGCAGGACAGGCCTGAAAGAGAAGCAGTTGTTGGGCTCATGGCCATCTCCACCCCCCTTTTGTAAGACTGTTGGGGTCGATCTTTTCTGCCTCTGATATTTTGCCTCTTGTTTTTCCTTTTAGGAGCTGGTGTTTTCTGCCTCCCCAGATGCTACTATCAGGATCTGGTCGGTCCCGAATGCCTCTTGTGTGCAGGTTGTTCGGGCCCATGAGAGCGCAGTGACGGGCCTCAGCCTCCATGCCACTGGGGACTATCTCCTGAGCTCCTCTGATGACCAGGTGCGGTCCCAGCCCAGACCCCGCAGAGGCCTGCTGGTCTCCAAGCTTGAACATCCGGGGAGGAGGGAACACCTTCCTGTTGGGCACCCACTTTCTTACTGGCTCGCTGTCTCTATTTTTTCAGTACTGGGCCTTCTCTGACATCCAGACAGGGCGTGTGCTCACCAAGGTGACAGATGAGACCTCTGGCTGTTGTAAGTTGTCATAGAGGCACTGGGCTCTGTCTGTTTTTTGGCTGCTTATCATTTATTTATGTGTTTTACTTAACCATTTGCTCCTTTGTTCTTAAGATTTATTTACCACCAGTGCTGGCCGGGTGCCAGGCGTTGTACCGGGCACGGTGAACAATGTGAAGAGAGGCCCCTTTTGCTGTGCTGGCCTCTCCCGTGGGCTCTGACCACAGCTCCCTGTCCCTCCCCCACAGCTCTCACCTGTGCACAGTTCCACCCTGATGGACTCATCTTCGGAACAGGCACCATGGACTCGCAGATCAAGATCTGGGACTTGAAGGTGGGACATGGCAGCCTCCATCTGAGGCCCAGGGTGTGAGCTCATGACTATGCGGTGTGATAAGTGCCAGTGGCACCCGGCCCTTGGGTGTCCCAAGGGCAGAGACACGGTGGCTGTGCGTGCGTGTGTGTGCGCGCGCACGCGCGCGCCTGTGTGTGATGTGATGGATGTGGCCCGGGGTCTTGGGCTGGGCCATCTACCTCTGCGATTCCTGTTAGTTGTCCTTCCCTAAAGGACGGTGGAGGATGGCTCAGAGGTAGGCATCTGGCGAACTCCCCATTTTCTCTGGGTCGTGACAGTGGGTGACGTTGTACCACTCATCCTCCACCTGTAGGAGCGCACCAACGTGGCCAACTTCCCTGGCCACTCGGGCCCCATCACCAGCATTGCCTTCTCAGAGAATGGCTATTATCTGGCTACGGCGGCTGATGACTCCTCTGTCAAGCTCTGGGATCTGCGCAAACTTAAGAACTTTAAGACACTGCAGCTGGATAACAATTTTGAGGTGCGCCCCCTCCCTTCCCCAGCTCTGTCGGTTGCCTCTCCTCACTTGTTGATTCTTCAGTGAATAGTCTAAACTGCTTCTGCGCATCCCTAATTGTCCCATAATTTCTGTTCTCGTGTGACCTCTCTCCTGGTTCTGGCAGGTGAAGTCACTGATCTTCGATCAGAGTGGTACCTACCTGGCCCTTGGGGGCACAGACGTCCAGATCTACATCTGCAAGCAGTGGACAGAGATCCTTCATTTCACAGGTAGGGTCTGACCCTGGGATCCTGAGGTCTCCCGAGTGTCCTGGCCCAGAAGGAAGAGGGTAAATAGCACGAGGTTAGGAATTTCCAGGGAGTAGGCCCGAGTTTGCCTAGGCAGCTTTTACTCCCTTCCTGAGGCGATAGAGTTTAGTGGCTAAGAAACTGCACTCAGGAGTCAGACTGCTGGGCTTTAAAGGCTGGCTCTACCCCTGCAAGCTGTGCGTCGTTGGACAAGTTACTTAGTCTCTCTGGGGAACGATAATAGGGCATACTCAGTGCGGTGAGTGTGTGAGGTTTAGCTGAGTTTTTATATATATATAGATATATATGTATGAAGTCATGTTTATGCACAAAAACGTATAAACAGATGAAATAGCTGTGTACTTACACACGTACACATGTGCATAAATAATTAGAACCGTGTTTGGCACGCTTGTTTCGGATTTGCCATTGTTCAGCATTGTGTCTTTGTCTTCTGTGGGATTGGAGCAGTGACTAAGATCCAAGCTTTGCACTAATGGAATTTCCAGTCAGTTGAGGAGGGTAGATGTGGGATGAGTTCACAAATAATTACTTGATTGCAATTGGTTTCTGAAGTTCATTTATTTTGGGGGAGAGAGCGCTTGTGCGGGTGCAAGCGGCGGAGGGGCAGAGCGCGAGGAGAGGGGAACCTTAGCAGGCTCCACGCTTAGCACGGAGTCCGACACGGGGCTCGATCCCACCACTGTGAGATCATGACCTGATCCGAAGTCAGGAGTGGACGCTTCAACCAACTGAGGCCACCCAGGTGCCCCTACTTAATTGCGATTGTAAATGTCAGAGAAGAAAAGCATAAAATGCTGAGACTGCGGATAGTAGGGCTACTAACCTCCTGATAGTTGCGTGGCCCTGGGCACGTGACGTCCTCTTTGAGAGCCGTAGCTTTTTCATTTTTTAAAGCGGTCACATTGGCACTGCTTTGCAGATGGTGCCAGCTGGTGACACAGAAATGGCTTGCGTGGTGACAGAGTGCCTGCTGCACACTTGGGTGCTGAGTGAATGGCAGCTGTTAGCTGTCTTTGTTGATGAAATTCTCATCCTCATTAGCAGGTTGTGAGCAAGACCCAAGATGCTTCTCCCACCCCCGTGTTCTCCTGAGCCCGGCTCGGTGTGTGTGTTCCAGGGGTGCCCAGGCCTAACTGGAACCCTTCGTTGGGCTCCGGTGTTTCGGAGTTGAGCGGGGTGCAGCAGTGGGCCGGAAGCACAGCCTGGGCTCTGTAGTGGGGGCTCCAGGAGTTGTCCTAAGCCTTCAAGGAATTTGCTCTGATGCTCCTGAGCTACCCCAATCCAGCAAGGCACGTCACCCAGCCCCTTCTGCCCTTGCTACAGCCCTGCCCTGTGCTGGGGGCCCAGGTTCCCTAAGTCGGAACCCCCTGAGCTAGGACAAGCTAACGGACGGTTCCGATTATAATATAAGCAAGGAGTTGGAACTAAATATATGCTATAAATAAATACGAGTCAGCTGAGCACTGAGGTCTTAAACCGAACTGAAAACTCAGCCCAATTTTTAAAAATAAGGTGGTGAGAAGTGGAAGAACAGGACCATGTCTGCTTGGTCTGTCCCACCCTCTGCCGGCTCCCAGTCAGTTCTAGGACTTGAACTGCGCAGAATTGCAGTTGCCCCAAAAGCTCAGGCAAGGAGGAGTGACGTTCCTCTGTTCACTCACCCCACAACAAAAACCTGAGTTGTCGCTGTGTGCCAGGCGCCGAGTAAGGCCCTGGGGATGGATGTTATGCAGGCTGGACTAGCGCCCTGCTCTCGGCAGCATGAGTCCACTGGGAAGTAGCGAGCACTGACCCAGGGAGGGCTGGACAGACTGAGAGTAGATCATCAGGATCCGCACTCAGACCCGAGGGGGAGAAGCCTTCTCACCTTTGCCTCTTGTCTCTCTCCTCAGAGCATAGCGGCCTGACCACAGGGGTGGCCTTTGGGCACCACGCCAAGTTCATCGCTTCAACGGGCATGGACAGGAGCCTCAAGTTCTACAGCCTGTAGGCCCTGGCCCTTCTGATCTGGGAGCTGGGCCTCATCTCAGTAGAGGGGTAGAATTAGGGTGGGGGGGTGGGGGGAGGAAGGGGAGAGACTAGCGGGGTGGGGGGGGGGTCTCTGGGGCGGGACATTCACATCATTTCACTCTGGTCCGGGTGGTGACCTGAGAGTCACGGCGGCGGGGACCACCCTCATCCATGCAACCTCCAGGCCTGACAGGAAGGATCATGGGAGGTAGAACTGTCACTCTCTGAAGGCTCGGGTCGGAGCCCAGGGCCTCTCCCCTCATGGCGTTCATGGAGTGTTCCAGTTCCTGGGAGATGGGGAGAGGCTGAGCCAAGGGACGTGTGAAGGGATGGGCATGAGGGCTCTTGCAGGTTTTTGTAAGCAGTGATTTAGTTTCATTAAAAAAAGAAAACAATAAACCTAGCACCTTCCTGTGTGTGTCTGTAAAAGGAGACTTAAGCCGGGACGGTCAGGGGGAGGAAGCACGTTTGCCAGAAGGATTCTTTCATACCCCTGCAGGCCTTGACCTTGGGTTTCAGAGGATCTCCTGTCACTGGCACCGCCACATCTTTTCTTTGTGGGACTGGCTTCCACAGCAGCCCAGAAGGGAGGGAGAAACAGCCTTTTCTTGCTGGTGAGGAACTGTGAGCATCCAGGAAGGACTCCCTCCGCTGTGGGGGCTGCGAAACCTGTCCCAGGCTGGCTTAAATCAGACATTCCAAGCTCTGGCTTTTGAATGTTTGAAGTAGAGCTGATTCCAGGGGAGATCTCCAGAGCATAAATAAACATGGAAGATCAGATAGTGAAGGTGAAGGCTGCTGTAGGGGGTGAGAGTAGGATTCTTGCTACTGAAGGTTGGGTGGCCTCTAAGGGCTTACAGTCTTCTTGCTTAGGACCTAAAAGCGGGGGAAGGATGCTGCCGGGAGGCCAGGTTTCCCAGGGGGAGTGAACAAGGCCCGGGGAGGGGCAGGAGGGAGGCCAGGGTGTGTGACCCGGGGTGGCCCAGAGAGGTCTTCTGGACCCTGGATGAGAGCCGTCCCGTGACCTGATGGGAGCCAGTAAGGGAATACGAGGTGAGAAAGAGGGGGTCCGTGGCTGTAGATGAGGATATGTTCTGGGGCGGGGGGCCTGGGTCGAAGCACAGGGTCCATGTCGATGCCACCCAAGAGCTCCATGTGTGTTTTGCTGGGCCCCTGTTCCCTGTTCGAGAAAGTTGGGGCATGCTGTTTTCTCCTTTGGAGGGTCCCGTTGCTTCTTGGCCAGTAAAACCTTTGAAAACTGCAAGAAAAGAAACCCTTTAACTTTTTAACCCAGCTTGCTCATCTGACTTGGACAGTGTGTGTGTGTGTGTGTGTGTGTGTGTGTGTGTGTGTGTGTGTGTGTGTGTGAGTGAGAGAGAGAGAGAGAGAGAGATTGTCCACGGAACCCCCCCTTCCGAGAATGCACCATAGCTGTAGTTCGCACATAGCGCAGCCGTGGGCATCTTCGAGCACACAGCCTCTTGGGTTAGTTCTTACAGGAGACTCCCAGGAGGGGAGAGAGGAGGTGGCGCTCAGAACACCTAGAGGTTTTGCAACGTCAGCCAAAGTAACTCCAATCTTGGATTTGAAGAGGGTGGGATTCTATGCCTTGTTAAGAAGCATCGAGCCCTTCTCCTGAGGCGGGACAGACCTCGAAAGGAGGAGGTGTAGAGCTGTGGTTTGCAGGTGTTAGAGCAGCGGTGTTGAAGGCGTTGAAGGCGGGGATGGGTGGAAGGCAGGGGGCATCCTGGGCCTGAGCTTGACCACGGTGCTAGCCCAGCACTGCGCCATCTGTTGGTTTCTGGCCAGATATTAATATGCAGGGTTAGGTTGGCTTTGTTTCCAGGAAAACTGTTTCAGAGATGAAGACACAGGTTCTTGGAGGATCCCTGGGTTAGGAGGGGACACTGGTCGTGCTCTGATGGTATGAAGCATGTGTTAGGTCTGTGCTCGGGTGCAGTTCTCAGCAGGGTGGGGCTGGGAATACATCTCGAAGGATCTCCGAGGGACTGCAGTCCCCGCCCCCACCCCCCCCAGTCAGTTCCGGACCACTGCCCTAAAACCAGGCCTTAACCCCTGCTGTCCTGGCCTCGGGGAGCCTCGCGTTTGGGTTTTAAGTCCTGAGATGTTACTTCCTTCCTGCCAGCTTGTCTACTCATATCAAGTGAGTGCTGGACGCCGTACTTACTTTGTCTCATTTTATTCTTGAAGCAGCCTTGCCCTTAGCCGCCCGCCATCTGAGCAGCTGCCCTGCATCCCCCTGCGGCTTCAGGCCTCTTCCTTTGGGGTCCAGGGGACGAGGTGAGAGCGCCGAATCCCAGCCCTGCCCTCACTAGGGTGCGACCCTTGGGCATATTGCTAACTTCTCTCTGATCCGGTTTCTTCATAAGCTGGGGATACTGTACTTATCAGGGATGTTGTAAGGCTTAAGTGAGTTAGGATGGACGAAAGATCGTCGGATGGGGGTGCACGGGATACGTACTGCATATGTGGTGTCTGGTGCTGCCGCTTCAACTGTGACCACTCCTGCTGCTGTCCCTCCTGCTGCTGTCCCTCCTCCTGCTGCTGTCCCTCCTCCTAC